GAAGTTTCAACATTCAGGCACAACACTGCTTAATTTACTAGTATAGACAGAGCTCTGGTGCCCTTCAAATATCTTCTTCCATAGCAGAAAGAAATGTCACCCTGTGAGTTATGAACTGGAAGGGAGGAATCGCTGTGGGGTTACATCCAATGGAGCCCCGGGAGACAGGGCATTGAAAACAGCCCCTGTTCCCAGGTGGCCATGAACCCTTTCATGATGTGAGCCTCTGGGCTCACAAACACACACACACAACTACTGATGCACACACATGGCTCACGGACACGGCCAGGTACAGGCAGAGGCACATCCAAATGGCCACACAGCTTCCAGCTCAGCACTGGCTCACACATCCAGCTCATTTCCAGAGCTTTAGCTGGTGCTGCGTGGAAACAGTCACTTTCAGCTGCTCTGGCAGAGAGCAGGGCTGATGGGTTGAGAGATGTTGAAGACTAAAGACAGCCAAACACCCTCTGGACAGACTATCTTGGTGCCAGTTGTCCCAGGGCTGCTGTGGCTAGACCACTCATGTCCCTAGCCTTGCAGCATAGTGTGCAGCAGTGTGCACAGAAAGGCAAGAAAGTACAGCATCCATCTCACACACTGCCTGTAGGGAGAGAATCCCATGTGTCTGCTACAGGTCTAAAGCCTGCTGATGGCAGCTCATCACAGCAATACTTCTCCCTTTAATTTTATGGTTGCACTTTGATGCTCATCACGCAGAAGTCCCTTTTCTCCTCTTGAATGTCCTTTCTTTGATGGATGTGTGTTGCTACAGACAATCCAGGATTTGCTGGTGCTACTTCTGGGGGAATGTCAGCCTAAGATGACTTCTTTGATACAGGATTTCATCGGTGTAAACTGCATCCATTATCTTACCACTTTTGGAGCTAGGCGCAGGTTGCCTTGTGGCCATGGCTGGCAATGAGATCAGGAACATGTATTGCTCTGGGTATAAATTCTAGGGCACACAAGTGACTCCTGTCCATCTAAAGGCTACATAAATGTGTCCACAATCCATCCATAATAGATACCACAGGCAAAATTAAGGTAGAATACACTGGACTCAACAGAACAAGCCAGAAAGCACATTCTCACCGCATTTGGGGATACATTTAACCCGCTGTCCCTCACTTGATGAATTCTTTCCACTGGGAACCATCTTTCCACCTGAAGCAGCCCCAGAGACCTCCTGCCCGGAGCAGCAGAGGCAGAAGATGGAGATCTGAGGAAACATCTAGGGAAGAGAGAGGTATTTTCTGAAGCCACAGCTCTAGCCTGGGAGAAGATAAAAGAAAAGGGAAGGGGGGTTTTTCCCTTGCTTTTTGGCTGATCTTTAAACCTCCCCTTGGACTTCTGAGTACAACCAACCGCACTAGAGATGCATCCACCTTTTTTACTGCAGGGAGAGGATAAAGGGGAGAAGGAGCTTTGCAAAAGAACAGGCTAAGAGCAACCGCTGGGCTCAGATGCTCTCCGTGCTTCCTGCAGGTCCTCTCTTCCCAATGGGCATCTCTGAGCCATCCTGGTGCCATATTCTGCTGCCTTGCCCTGCCACCAAGACCAGCGGTGGGTTCCCCATTTGCTCCTGATCCCTCTGCCCCTCCGAGGCCTCTTTGTGCCCAGCCATTAGGCAGAGAGAGCCCAAACCTCTCTCTTTCTCCCTCATCCTTCCCTCTTCAGCACAGCGAGAACCGGCGCGAGTTGATGTTCATCTTGGTGACCCCGATGAGCTTGAGAGGCGTGGAGAGGCTGAAGGAGTTGACAAGGGGGAAATCACAGAAGAGATCCGCCAGCTCGTCCCTCTCCTCCAGCTCATACGTGGCGTCGTTGAGCATGCGCTGGTGGAGGTGGCAGGTCTGCTCGATCTTCAGCTTGTTGATGTCGCTGCGGAGGCGCATCAGCTGCCTGGCCAGCTGCTGGTCCTGCAGGCGCATTTCTGCCTGGAACACACGACAGAGAGGGGGGAGGGAAGAGAGGATCAGCAAAGGCGCAGCAGATGCGTTCCTCGTAGCGGTCCTTGCTGGAGGCTGCAGCAAGTCATGAGAAATGTAGCTTTGATAGAGATGCAAAGAGCTGGGAGGGAGGCTAGAGAATTCCCTGCAGTGCATCTCAGGTCAGGATGATGAATCTTTAGCATTAGCAGTCTGTGCTTGGTCAGATTTCCAGGAGCACTGGGAGTTAAATCCAGCCATGCCAAGGCTGTTGAATGGGATATCAGTCAGTGAAAGCTTCAGAGCCTCCATCTCAACCTTAAACAAAGCCCAAATTAATTTTGCTCACAAGGGAGCAGCCACAGGGTGAGAAGTAGCAATTAGAGGTGGAAAGAACCAATTAAAAGACCCCAGAGAACAGATTCCCAACTACTTGGCACAGATTTCCAGCCTGTGTAAATCCAGGCTGGTTCATGGCAGAAGGGAACATGGCTGTCAGCATCCCCTGTGGCTCATCTCTCTGATTGCACACAGATCTTGGGATGGGGCCTCTGTGTTTCCCATGGGAAGGAGAATATCTATCCCATGGGCTCAGTGTTTCATAAGGTTTATTCTCCCCTGGCGTCTAACTCTGAAAGGTGGAAGACTTAAGTGATGAAAAGAAATGGATGTATTATTATTATTACTGTTTTAAATTCCAGCTTATAACTGAGCAGAAAATTGTCACAGGACACTGGGAGAGGCAAAGGGAGGAGGTGAACACCTGGCAAGATTCATGGTGAGCATCAGCCCTCATCTGGAAAGCAGAAGCAGCAGTCAAAGAGCCGATGCCAAGAAGTCAAAACCCACTTCTCACCCCACATCCCTCCTCGCAGAACAGCAACAAACCACAAAAGCCACAGAGAAAACGGAGTGCTGGGAAAGAAGCCAAACAGATCAGGGTGAACCCTGTGGCTTGAATCAGTCTTTAACTCTTGGAAACATGGAGGGAGCATTACAGGCTGAAAAAAAAACACTGATGTACCAAGGCTCCTGTTTTTGTCTTTATTTTCTCCTCCCAATAGATATGTGCAGTCCTCAGCAACATCCCTGTGCATGAGATGCTCTGCAGCCTTTCAATATCTCGAGGGGGGCTGTGAGGAAGAAGGGACAGATTCTTTAGCAGGGTCTGTTGTGATGAGATAAGGGGAAATGGTTTCAAACTAAAAGAGGAGAAATTTAGATTGGATATAAGGAAAATTTTACAATAAGGTTGCTGAGGCACTGGGACAGCTTTGGATCACTGGTTTCTTGGCTCCCTGTGGTCTGAATGAGAAGTTCAGAAATAGGAGTGAGAGGTAATTTTATTCCTGGTTGGTGGCTGGAACATGAAACTGCAGAGAGGAAAGGAGGAGGTAAAATTCACATCAGGATGCTCCACAGGTGGCCCTGGTGTTTCTACACAAGGTCTTTGTGATACATGAAGTGGGGGATGCTGCAACCAGGCTATCAACCAGGGTAGCACTGCCATTGCTTTGGTTTGTGGCACAATCCCTCCTGCTCCAGGCAATGCCTTCAAAGAGATCAGGATTGGCCTTTGCAGCACCGCCAGTCTCACAGCAAGGTGAAGCTTTAGGAGGTTGAAAGGCTCATAGGGAAGAGCTTGGCTCTGCTCCAGGTGTTTTCTGCAGCTGTTGGGAAGCCCTTTGCAATCCTCAGAGCTCAAGCCAAGAGCTGACGTTAGTAATGGACGTCAATCCAAGCCAAGCAAGGCTCTTCTCTCTCCTGCACCATGGAGACACCATGGAGGACCTCGCCTGGTGCTCTCAGCCAGCAACTGGACTCCAGCTCTGTTGCCTGCAGAAGTTTCAGTTAGTTTTGTATAAATTTCACCCTGAACTTCCCTTTGAATGGTTGTCATGGCTGGGGCAATTTACTGTGCTCTGAAAACCACTATTTCCTTGCACTGAGCAGAGCAACGCCACTCAGGGAGCTTTTCTTCCCCCACGTGAGTTGCAATGAAAAAATGTTCATACTCATGATATTTTCCCCTGTTTCACAATGAGCTCTGCAACTTGACATTTTATCAGGAAGGTGATCACGGATATTATTGAGCTAACCTTTGGTCAGTGTTTCTTGTCAGTTGATCAAGCTATGTAAGAAACATCAACAAATGCTTTCATGAAAGGTTTTGATGAACATGGGATAAAAAAAATATGAAAAGGGTTTAAAAATTAATTAAGAGGCCATTATGGAAAGGCATAAATGAAGATTGCTATTTCCCCCCTACAAGCCATGTTTCTGAACCAGTTCTTTCTTTCTCTGCTTTTCTAAGAAAACATTTTGCTTTTATGCAAGTTCACAGACGAAGCTGCTTGGGCTGTTGGTGTTAGATCCCAGTTTTGTCCTCCAGTGCTCCATCTGCAGTCTTCATTCACTTCCTCCACCATACCCTGGTGTTTATGGAAATGGTATCTCCCACTGCCATGCCAACCACAAGTCCTCCTGTATAGGAGGGGGAGAGGTGTGGGGGGCAAAATCTGCACCCACCTACATTGATCATTTCTTGTCCTAGACAAGCCCTTGCTATGCTCTGGGGATCAGTGGGGGAGCAGGGCAAAAGATGTCAGATATGTTGATTTCTCAGGGAGAAAAAGTCCCTTTTTGCCCTCCAGGAAAGCAAGGAGGATGGATGAGGAATAACGTACTGTAATGAGTTACTAAAAGATTACCACCAGGAGATACAGGATTTGCCTTGTCTGAGGAGGTGATGATGGACAGGACTGGGCAGTCCACAGGAAAGTGATGTGTTTTGTTCACAAACACCCAAAATCTTAGCAGGATCTGGATCAGAACCCAGAAATACCAATTCTCCTGCCTTTTCCTACAAGCTTCTCGTGAGTATTAGAGACACGTAAGATGTCCCACACTGAGGACCAAGCCATCACTAGAAATCCTCTTTCAAAGAGGAGAACTGCTAGATCAGCAAGCTCCAAAAGCTTCCTGGAAAGACTTAATGGGATTACAGGGGCTGCATCACAGCTAGCTAGGGTTTTTGGTTTAAGCAGCTCACCCACAGGGACAGCTACTATAATGCAACTCAATGGGACGACAACAGATCCCACACACTCTGCAGTGTCCCCTAGGAATCCACAGGGCAGACCCAGCAGCAGCCATGCATCGTTTCCAAGTTTTGCATGCCAAGTGCAGAAGCAATCTCACGTATTTCTTGCTTGCACAAACCACTTTTTAACAATGTTCCCTGCCTCTTTCCGGCCCAGCTCCAGCAGGCGAAGAGCTGTGTGGGTCTGGGAAAGGGAACCAAACCCAAGCCCTCCCTGGCAGAGGACCGGCTACAACCAGCAAATTGAATCACAAAACCACAGATATCTGAATGAGCGAGTCTTAGGAAGGATTTTCTGTTTGGGTTGGGCCTCTGAGTCTTCCAGGAATGTTTAAAATGAGGGAGGGAGGGAATATTTTGGATGCGTCCTTGGCTTTTGTCCAGTCTAGGTGGCTTACCCCAAATATTCAGCTGCAGCTCAGGATGCAGTCTAGGTTTATCTCCAAGTTTGTCTCTAACCATGGGCTGTCTGTATGGTCGCAGACACTATCAGTGTTCCCACTGCCATTAGTCCACCTCCTGCTGTGCTGCTATGGAGGGAAATAGCAACAGAGACCATTCCAGGGTATGGAGGTGTCATGGAGCTCCTTGGCACCTTTTCCCAAGACAGAAGTGTCCTGTGGACAGGTTCCCAACCTGAAGCTCAGGGTAGTGATCAGTGGAGAAAGGGTTGCTTCCATGGATCCAAAAGATCAAAAGAAAATGAAAGGTGAAGTGGTGCCTTCCCAGTTGGGTGCAACCACTTGGATTTGAGCAGAGGCCGGTCATTAAACCCTTGCCAAAACACTTCAGAGAAATTGGTTAGGTCTGTGTTTAGATTTGAGGCTTCATCTTCAAAGGTGCTCAGATGACACTCTGCTGTGGCTAATTTTGGATGCTCACGCCCTTGTGGTGCAACCCACAGTCTGAAACAAGGCACCTAATCATTGCTTCAGCAACGAAGCTCATGATGACACTGTGGGTGTCACCCTGTTGTTTAAAATCTCTCTTAAAAGCTCTTGTTCAACTAATATTGATGTCAAAACTCAGAATAATATCTGGACCATGCTGACAAGTCATGTTGCTCCTGATGGGGAAAGCAAATTGGTCTGAAATGGAGACAGTGATAGTCATTAGAGTCTATGCCATCCTTGTTGGCGGTTTTATTAGGATCAAATAACATTTGCTCAATCCATTGGAAGAAATCCGTTGGGAATTCAGCCACTCTCAGGTTTAGTCTTCCACCAGTCCAGTCACCTCTGCACTTCAATGTGGCTATTCTGTCTGTCTGACCAGCAAAATATTGTTCATAGGATGATTTGAGTTGGGAGGGATCCTTCAAGGCCATCTGTCCCATTCCCTGCACTGAACAGGGACACCCACAGCTCCATCAGTGCTCAGAGCCCATCCCCTGACCTTGGCTGTCTGCAGGGATGGGGCAACAACCACCTCTCTGTGCAACCTGTGCCAGTGCCTCACTGCCCGTATTGTAAATAACTTCTTCCTTATATCCAATATAAATCTCCCCTCCTTTAGTTTGGAACTATTTCAGCACTGATGAAAAGCAGCCACATTTGACATGAGAAAGGCAAAGAGGGCAAAGAAGAGACAGGAGGCAGGAAGGGAACTGTTCCAGCCTTCAGGCAGTTCAACACATGCTGAGTACTGCAATTTGCTCATACACCTACACAGAGCCTCTCAGCACAAAAACAAGAGCAGGAATTTGCATGTCCGAATAAATCAGCTTCTCAGAGCCAGATTCCCAGCAGGTGCCAGCTGATGGGGCTGGCTGGAGCTCAGTGGGCATATTCAGTCTTATATACCAGGGCCAGATCTTTGTGTGCAAATGGCAGTATTGGGCACTGAGATGGGTCACCTGGGGAGAAGGACCAAGAGCAGCAGATGCTCAGTAAGACCTTGGGTTTGTCCCTCACTTTGCTTCTGAATGGGAGGAGCCTGAACCTGGCTGAACCTGAACCTGAGCAGATTCTGGACACATGGATGCAAATTCCCTGCAGCATGGGATGACACTCATTTTGTGAACTGGGAGTAATGCTTCAGATTTAGCAGGTAGCTTTAATTCGTATGGCCAATTCTTATGGCCTATTCTGCTAAGTGGAAATATGGGTATACACATTAAATTCACTTTGCTTCCAGAATTGTGTGATCTAATACAAACTGCTTATTGGGAGCATGTGCAAACTCCTGAAGCTCTAGCTGTTTGGCAGAGTGCTAACTGGTACAAGCCAGAACCATGCTGGGGCCGTGCTAGTGAACCAACCCTGCCTAAATGTGCTTGTAGCTGAGACAGGATTGCACAGTGTGAGTGATGGAGATGTACATCCTGCACTGCTGCATTCCAAGAGCACAGGCTGCTGGTCCACTTTTTTTCTGGACATGCAGCAGCTTTTGCCCTTCCGTTAGGTAGATGAATCCTACATACACTAATTTGCCTTCTCTTGGAGGACTGCATAAAATGGGAAGAATTCATCCTGTGATGGAAAGCAGCACGGCAGAAGCAGATTTCACCCCAGCTATGACTACTGGATCATTTTTGGATGCTCTTCAAAAAGCTGCCCAGTTATTCACATGGGCTGTGTCTGTAATAGTAGAGCAAGGAAAGCCAAAGCACAGCACAGCCACCAAGCCCTGGCCTCCTTCATCTTTCCTCTCTTACATTAAGGAAAACTGGAAGGATTTATTTCCCAATTAGGGTGACCATAGCAAATGGATGGGTACTGGAGCCCTTCCTGGCCTTTCTGGTCTTGGATCCTTGTCTCTGATCTAGTGGTTGGCAACTCTGTCCACAGCAGGGGCTTGAAAGTAGATGATTTTTGAGGTCCCTTCCAAGCCAAGCCATTCTAGGATTCTATGATTCTATGATTCTATGATTCTAGCATTCTAGCATTCTAGCATTCTAGGATTCCATGATCCTGCCTTAAGTATATGTAGAAACTCAAACAACCATATCCTGCTCTGAACCTTCCTGTTTGCCTTATTATCATGAAATGGTAGTAAACAAGGAAAAATCCTGGTTGTGATGAATGGAAGCTTGTTAATATACAAAAAAGAAAATTCTTTTCACTCTTGAGATGTAATGTGAAATGTGTCTTTTTGTTCCAGCACTCTGTGAAACGATGGCCTCGCTGGCAGCTCTGACCAACAGCACTGCCTCCAACATAGCTGTTCAACTATGTGGTCAGTCAAATACATGCTCCCTCTTTTGGGGAAATTGTTCTAAATTACATGAGTCACGTCCAAATCCAGCAAAGACTGGTATAATTAAGACAGAGGAAAATGGAAAGTGAGGAAAAAATAGGGTTTACTTTGCCCTTTTTCTTCCTTAATTTAAACTTTAGATTCTCATCAGATGATGTTTGATGTACCACACCCCAGTCTAAAGGGTAGAATTGGACTCTAAGACAATTTATACTTTTGGCAGAAGACCAAAGAACAAAGCAAACGCTTTACACACTGTGACTCTAAGAAGGAAAAATCTGTCCCTTCCTGTCTCCAGGCATTTTGAGACTTGGGTTTTACATCTAGTCCTCTGTGAATGTGAGAATTCATCACAGATGCAAGCATGGACCTGGGTTCAGGGCTGAGATTAGGAGCTGATTTCTCTCCAGAGCCCTGAGTGGGAATCATAGAACCATAGAATCATCCAGGTTGGAAAAGACCTCTAAGATCATGCAGTCCAATCTCAATCCATATTTACCATGTCCACTGATCATGTCACTCAGTGCCACATCTCTTGATGATGTGTATATACTTGTTGAACACTTCCAAGGATGGTGATCCCTCCACCTCTCTGGGCAGCCTGTGCTAATGAAGCACCACTCTTCTGAAGAAGAAATTGTTCCCAATATCCAGCCTGGGCCTCCCCTGGTGCAATTTAAGGCCATCACCTCTCATCCTAAAACAGTGAGATCGACTCAGAACGCTTTGTTATATTCCAGGATTCCTGAAGTTCTGCTTTTGTCTTCCAAAAGCCACGGTCCTGAGAAACATCCCGACCACCAAAACTGACATCCAGGACCATTTCTGTCAGTAAGTACTTTAGAGATCTCGGCAAAAACAGCGAGAGCAACAAAAATTTGTCAAATAAACATTCTTTGGAGCAGAACTCACAGATGTGTTTAAAAAACGTTTTGCATGGGAAGTTTTCTTCAGAGACTTTCAGTATTTATCAAAACCAAAGCCCTTGCACAGGAACATGTCCCCAGGTGTATCTGGCCTCAAGTTTCACCAGGGGAAATTCAGGCTGGATGTTAGGAAATACTACTTCTCTGAAAGAGTGGTCAGGTGCTGGAATGGGCTGCCCAGAGAGGTGGTGGAGTCACCGACCCTGGAGGTGCTCAAGGAACATCTGGATTTTGTGCTGAGGGACATGGTTGAGTGAGAACTACTGGTGGTAGGTGGACGGTTGGGCTAGATGATCTTGTAGGTCTTTTCCAACCTTGGTGATTCTGTGATCTGAAGCCCACATGCTTTCCCAGTCCTTGGGGACTATGCTGCAAAGATTGCTTCTCTCCAAACAACTGCAACCGCTATTGGCAATCACAGGCAAACATCTAATTAGGCAACAGAGTCACGTGATATCCATTATAGCCAGTTTCCAGTTACATGAGCCAAATAATTTCATTCTATTTTCATTTTCATTCTAGAAGGGAAGGATCGTGGGAAGTGAAGTCTCAGTCTCTTGTTCCTATGCGTGTGAAGTGCCCACCTGTCTATTCTCCAGCCTGAAAATGGCTGCTCCAGTTGGGCTGTCTATCCTACTGACCTCCTCTGGACTCCATGAAGGATGCATCTATGCTTCTTCCTGGGAAATGTCCCCAGATTCCCAAACTGGGCTGGGAACAGCTTGGGGCAGTGCTATGAAGATCCTGACAGCAATGCAACACGTCAAAGTTGAGCTTCTTCTAGTGTCTGTGCCCTAGCTCTGTTTATTTTCCTAGGGTATATGTAGCATTTATGTCTTGTTTTCTTCTCCTTGAATCACAGTTAACAGCATTTTTGATTGCCCTTGAACTGCATGGAGCCAGGGCAGTGAAGGCTGTATGGCTCTGGCCCCCGTGTTGGCCATGTCCCCTCAGAAAGCCACCGGCCACCTCCTTGCTTTGGAGAGATAGAAGGTCTCCAGTCCTTCAATCTATCAGTTTTTAACTACCATAAATAGGGATTTATGTAAGATGGTGTGCCTGTCTGATAGGAAGGGCTGACAGAAATATCAACCAGAGCCTAATGAAGGAGACAAACTTGTAAGAGTTGGCTGAGGAGGGGTCTGAGATCAGGCTCTGGCATTGTACATGCAGCAGGGGAAGGAAAATATGCTTTCCTAGATGTTACTGAGTAATGTGAAACAAAAAGAAGCACTGAGGGCAGGGCAGAAATAACCTGGGAGAAGCAGGTTGCCCCAAAATCTCATAGGAAGTTATGAGTTGAAAAAAAAAAAAAAAAAGGAAAAGAGCCAAAAAGAGGGAAATAGGCAATCATTTGGAGATTATATTAGCAGATGCTTGTCAAATGCAGCATTCTGCAGACAGTATCCCACTGATGATACTGACAGCCTCAAGAAGCAAGGGTAAATCTAGGGGACAGGTCTTGCTAGGCACATTCCTTTCTACAGCCTTGGTGTAACATCCCTTCCTGAACCCCATCAGAGAAGGGCTATTGCAGCAGCTACATCCATGTGTCACACCTTCTGTATTCACATGAGTGTTGACGTGTGATTAGAGAAGCAGAAGAAGCAAACTGCTGAAAATCTCAGCTAATAAAAGCTACAGTATTTCCTGAGCATTTGGGATCCCAGCAAGGACAGTGAGGTTGGCCCAGCTTCTTCTCTGAGGCAATAGATGCTGTCATTCACCTTTCCCTTCCCCACAGCCCCCCACAGCAGCTGCAGTGACTAATGGTTGCCTTTCCACCAGGTATAGAAGGCAGGTGGGAACAAGGAGCTACTCATTTCCTTCATTTTTCTCTTGAAAAAGAGTGCTATCTATCTGGGACAGGAAACCACTTACCAGTTCCTTCCTGAGCCACGTCAAAGCTTCATCGATGCTCTCAAAGTCGCCAATTTTCCCTGAGGTAAGTGTCACCTTGTCCTGGGCAGGGCTCCCGTTGAGATGCAGCTGCACATTTCTTAGAGGGACAGTGTCCTCTGTACCCTTTTTGGCCTCGTTCCCCTCCTCATCCCCAACGGGTTGGGGGCTCTTCCATGCCTGCTCCTCCAGCTTTGCCTTCCACTCCAGGTAGGACGGGCGTCTTGTTTCCAGCCTCAGCTTCTCAGTCAGGGCCTTGAGGCTCCTTAGGTGATCATCAGGAGGAACAGCACTTCCAGTGCCAGCATCTGTTCTGTCCAGGGCCTCTTCTATCTGGATTTTAGGTAGGGACATTCTCCCTGGGGGTCAAACGGCATGGGGTGGGATCACAAGGGTCGGAGGTGGGGTAGGATGCCCTAATGGCCAGGTCTTGGATGAGAGCTCCTGCTCAAGCCCCACACCAAACCTGTGTGAATACCTAGAAGAAAAACAGAGGATTGTTTTCCACTTTTAAAAGGAAAAGGGAGCAAGAAGGGAGAGACAGCTCTTGCAGAGCACTGGCTTTGGGAAAGGCACAGTGCCAAGGTGTGTTACCTCATCTCAGCTATCTGCTTTGTGGGCAGGAACAGACAGGCTCCAGCTCTTAGTGGAGCTCTGGTTACCTACATCTCCAATACTTAAGGGGCTGTGAAAAGGTTGCCAATGAGGCCAGGACACATTCACACACCCTTCTGAGGACAAATCATACTGCCCAATGTCCTCTGGAGCCAGCAGTGGCTATTGCTGGGTGATGGGGTGTCCTGCTGGCAGTCCTATTTCTTTTCACTTATGCAAGATAGGGACAGATAAAGTAAGGCAACATAAACTTCTCCCAGGAGTTTGAGCCAAAGGGAGAGCTGGAAAAATGCCTTCACTTGTTTATGTGTTTACTTATTTATTTATTTTCTTGCTCAATTTCACAGATTTGGGTTTAGATTTAGGCTTGCTAAGGACACCAGCCTCTAGCCATGGGAATCAGATTCCACCCATCCAGTGAGCCTGGGGCAGGAGCACGGCCCCTGGCCAGTTTTGGGAGTAACTGGGACATTGGTGTGGATGGGCTCAGATGCTTACTCTCATGGAAATCTGGACTTGTGGTTTCCATCTCTGACTATCCCCAGTATACCAATTGGAAATGGTCCATCACCCGTGCTAACTTCCAAATTGCAACTCTGTAGTGTTTGGGAGAGGGTCAGCTAGCTTGGGCCAAAGCCAGGACTTGAATACCTCTGTGGGAGTTAAACTCAGGCAGCTGCTGCATACATTTCAGGTGGGATCAGATAAGAGACATTCTCAAGGTCATATATTCATCTGCAGCTGAGCTAGGAATAGATCCAGAGCTCTCGTCTACATGTCAAACACAAAACAAAATACTTTCTGCCTGCCTGGTAATATGCCCAGAAAGACCAGCCAGGATACGCAGTTTCTAGCTGGATGCACTAAAACACAGCGATACGAGTTAACTCAGCCATTCTCCTCCCTGCTATGTGTGCCCACAAAGACGTGTGCAGCTCTGAAACCCAGACCATAATTATGCCTCTCGAACCTTTTCAGAAAGAAGATTCAATTTAAAATAAACACCAACAGTGAGCAAGATTTATCCCACAATTGTGTGGAGGCACATGGGCTGAATGAGTAGTTGATAATATACACACAGACAGTCTGGGGGTGGAGAATTACTCATGTTGTGGTCTTGTTCCTGCTCCTATTTATGTTAATGAGGGTTTTACGGTGAGTGGGAGCAAGCCCAGATACTACACCAGTTTGAAGCCAAGAGCTCTCATGCCTGGAGCAGCACAATTTTCTTTCTTCTGCTGAAAAATAAATTGCAGGGAGGGGCAAGAAAAGGGCTGCCCATTCAGAGAGTCAGGACGTGCACTAGCTTGTGCGCTGAGCTGAAAGCACACTGACAGATTTTGCTCCAGCACTGCATTCTAGCCCATCAAAGTCAATAAAGGGTAGCACCTAATGAGTTCGGAGACCTTAACCAGGTTGGATGGGGCCCTGGGCAGCCTGGCCTACTATTAAATGTGGAGCTTGGTGGCCCTGCATGTGGCAGGGGGGTTGGAGCTTCATGATCTTTGGGGTCCCTTCCAGCCCAAGCCATTCTGTGATTCTATGATTCCATTAAGTAACCAAGCGTTTTTCCCTCTGGTGGGTTGGTGATTGCTAGCTGTGGCTGAATCCAGCTTTCCAAAAGCTGAACACGCCAGGCTGCTGGATTTGGTTCTCCTTAACGCAGATAATATTCTTACTGTAAGGCTGACATTGTCAAACATCACAACATCAAAGTAGAGGGTCCACAAACTCTTTCATCTTGCGTCTCCAGTACAAACCAGCAGCTTGTGTTGCCTGCTGAGGGATTGGATACTTATGCACCATTACAGCCCACCTTACACCTCCCATGTGCAATATGAAACTTCTCATAATTCAGTGGACAGACCCCAGACAGGCACATCTGTCCTCCAGCTTCTCCAAACTGAAAACAGGCACAAAAGAGCTGCCTCAAATTTCATATTGATATCTCGGACTTGATTGAAAGACCTGCTGCAGAAAGAGAGCTCTGAAATTTGTACATGTGAAAAATGTCTGTGTGTAATCCAAACCTGCCTGCTGCCCCAGTGCTAGCTAATTCCCAGGAACAAACCTGACCTCCAGGCTCACTTTCCTCACAAGAAAAAGACCTGGAGTGGTTAACCCTTGATTTGTCTTCTTTATCACAACTGCACTCTGTTGGTTCGTGCTGTACCAAATTAGGGGTAACAAGAAGTTGGCACCAAAATGGTGACCAAAACCCAACAGGTTTCCCCCTTTCCTTTCATGAAAGCTGTCAAACCTGAACGTACAGGACACATCAGTTCACCAGGTCAACAGAATGCCTTTCATCTCCTTCTTGGGTCAGGCTTCCATGGAAAAGTCAGCTTCACTGAGCCACTTGGTAAGCTGCCGTGCAAAGGGATTAGCAGTAGTGTGCAAATGGGATGGAGAAATAACAGGACTGTCATCTGGATGGGGTGTGAAGTCCCATCGTGCCAAATCTCACTGAGCAAGCATGCCTTCAGGCCTGGCTTTTACACCTTTGCAAGTCAGCAGAGCAAACCCTTCCCTCTCCCACACCTGACACACCTCACAATGTCCTTGGGCAGTCCTGTACTCTAAGAAACCAAGTCATAGAATCATAGAATGATAGATGGCCTGGGTTGAAAAGGTCCACAGTGCTCATCCAGTTCCAACCCCCTGCTGTGTGCAGGTCACCAACCAGCACCACCAGGCTGCCCAGAGCCACATCCAGCCTGGCCTTGAATGCCTGCAGGGATGGGGCATCCACAGCCTCCTTGGGCAACCTGTGCCAGTGCCTCACCACCCTCACAAAATGATGCTACAGCCTGTGGGAGTTTTATGTGCCTGAAAAATTTTATACACCTCTGCCTTCCCATCAACTCTCTGTGCCCTGCTCTGCTCTGAATGAGGCTTTCAGGAAGCAGCATTGCTTGCACATTTACAGCCTGCTCAATTTAGGGCCATAAATAAGGGCATGCAGTGCTTTGGAAGGCCACATGTCAGGGAGCAAGGGGTCTAGGGGAAGAAAGAAGAAAAAGAAGGAGAAATACTCAGGATAAAAATTGGAGGAAAATAAGCAGGATAAATAAAGCCATCAGTAAAATAGATATGGGGAAAAAATTATTCTGCTCCTTTCACTACTCCTGATGGACATCAACTTGCAGTAATGCCATTTTTTATTGCAGAGGAGCAGCAGTGATTTTAAGAGTCTACATTACTCTGCTTATCTCCTTTGAGAATAAAAACACAGCTCAGTGCGTGACAAAGCTCATGCTGAGAGAAGTCCTTTAGCTGGATGAAGAAGTGCCATCAAGGACCATGGATAACACTTCTGGCATGTGGCAAACAGGGCTTGGACTATTAATGACCATCAAAAATCACTTTAGCCCCTTTTATCCCTCTGACTGGTTAGGCAGCTCACACAACTGGCCTTCAGGAGCCAAACTCTGAGGATCTTCAGGGATACACAGAGCATCTTCAGGTGTCTTGTTCCCATCTGGATGTCCATACTCTGACTGTTATCAGAGCAGGGATGCTCTGTATGACCCATGGTGTTTAGGATGAGGTTCCCCAGATCGCTGGCAGCCATTTACTCTTGGAGTTTGTATGGGTTTCACTTTATGAGCCACACACTCAGCCCTTCACCCTATGAAAGAAAAACTTATGTAGAAGTTGCACCAACCAACACCATCCTTGGTGGGTGATGAAACCTCATGAAGAATAGAGCAGGAGGAGGGGGGCAGAGCCAGCTGTTGAGGAACAGCAAAAAGATGGGGATGGCTGACCTCCCTGTGGTCTGCAGCAGATTGGCAGTGGGATGGTGAAGAGGATGCCTTCCTTTCCTGTCCTGAAGCGACCTTCAGCCACCCTCCTCCCAGAAGATGCCTGCAGCCCAAAGATCATCCTGATCCTGAAGCCGGCAAATGGCCAAGCTGGGCATCAGGAGCATGAGCACAGTTCCAGGTCTGGTGAATCCCCCACACTTGCAGGGATAGCAATGTTACCTGTGTCCCTTCTCACACATGGACCCACCTCTAACCTAATGCAGGACACAAGCTCAGGGAGCTGAGCAGCTTTCTGTGCCCAGGCTGACTGAAGGTTGAGAGGTGCAATCTCAGAGTTACATCATGCTGTGTCTGGGATACTGACTTAATAGTGTTCTGAGTGCACTGGATGTTCCTATGCATTTATGTATGTGAACAATGCCCCCAAACCCTCTCAAGTAGCTCATATGCTCAGGACAGCAGCCCATCCTGTTATTTCAGCCTTAGGGTGCAGTCATGGCATTTGCAAATACATGGGGGCAAGAGGGAAGGACTGGGCTTTTCCAGACATGTGTGGCCTGAAGCACGGTGAGGGTTCACCTCCTTCTGCCCAAACAGCCCCCAGGTGCAATAGAGGAGAGAAAGCAGTGGGGGACTGCAGCCAATCCTGACAAATGGATGAAAATAAGAAGAGGGGACCACTTATCCCTCTGGCATTTCTCTCCAGCCTCAGTGGCAGTGTCAGAACCTGCTTCAAGAAGTACATCTGTTCCTTCATACCCGTCTACCTCTGAGCCCGTTCCTTGCACAAGTCACAGCCAGCTGCTTTTGAGGCAGCAGGATGGAGACTGCCTCTGTTGGGTCCTGGCAGCCCCATCTTCTGAGCAGCCCAGTTCCCCTCCATCAGCAGATTTCCAGTGGTTGGGTGGAAACCCAGCATGAAAACGGTCCAGGCTTTGCCAGATGTTTGGCATTCCTGCAAATCAGGAATTCTTCTGGTGATGAGTGGGGGACCAGGAAGGCTCCATAGAAAGTGGATGGAGGGAGCCTCCTC